GCATGAATGAAGCCCCGGCGCCAGAATCAGCCGTTCGCCTTATATGGAAAGTGAGCCTTTGCGTTTCACTGTTCTGTATTGGTTTGAGAGCCACGGCACCATACGAATTGTGAGCCCCTTTGAACGGGTCACCGCCCGAGGCACTGAGGCGACGGCTGTGCCGGGCAAAGTCTAGCCTGGTGGGAGAGGTGGGCCAGGGAAAGTGCGATCGAGCAGCCACTGGGACGTGGATTGGTATTATCCAACCGCGACAAACGATGTCAGTAGCCTCTTCTCGTGTCATAGACAGTGTCTATGACACGAAAAGCTAGACAATGTGGACAGTGCCCAATCAAAAGCTACTAGACGATCCAGTTAAGGAGTTGGCAAGGTAGCCAGACCAAATAAAAGGTTTTTGATTCGATTTTGGTTGACAAATGACATACAAGCCCGCTGTGATGGACCAAAAAGGAGCTGAACAGTTCATACAACTTCTAAAAAGCTCAACGGTTTAAAAATTCAAAAGTTAAATGTTAAAATTCAGCCTGCATGTAACATTATTAAACTCTGGTCCGGCGCTGGCAGGAAGCTTATATTGCCGCTTGCAATTCCACTACGTTGTAATATAACCAATTGTTCTGTGAGAGCAGCAACTGAAAGCCCCGTTGAGGGGGGAGGGCGGCGCAAAACGGTCCCCTCTCTCCTTTTAAGTCGATATCTCCTAAAGTATAGCAAATGTCGGCCACCAAACTTTCAAGACCCCCTCCGGGCATCATTTTTACACCTTGTGACCAAATTTTCCAGAGCTCTTATGAAAGGTTAGTCACAAATGACGTCAGAGGGATGCCATGTTTTGTCATTTTCGACCCAATAAAAGATTTAGCGGGGAGAGCTGTCACGCTACAGTTTGAAGATAACGAAAAATATTCAAGATCAAAAAGATGTAAAATAAACAGCGCTACCGAACTGCTAACTCTTATCTCTAAACAAAAATTGATTTTGACCATCAAAACTATAGAAGTATAACACCCCGAAAATACCAACAACTTTCAAAATTAAAACTGAAATATATGTTATAGAATTATCTGCTCTAGATATGCCAAACTTAAACTCGATAGCTCCATTTTTAGCAAAGTTATGGCAAGAAAGCTACTCAAAATTTATTACGTAAAATTTTCAAATTCAATTTTTGGCCGTCACAGAACACACAAAGCAAGCCAAAGACTATTGGATTTCCTGTGATGAGTTGCATCGAATAGATACCCCTTTTATGCAAAATATCAACTTTGAAATTTGACCTTCTTTGACCTGACCTTGACCTGACTTCCACTCACACCGTCTACGGCCGTCTAGCTCACACCATTGAATTTTAAATGTAAAATTGGCCATAAAACATGTATCACACGACCCTAGCATAGTTGGGTTCATATTGTGACCCTAAGTGACCTGACCTCTGTGAACTGACCTGGCATCAATGACATCTTTAGGCAGCATATGTATTAGACAACCAACGCTCCATCGATGTTTTTTTCGATAGCATGCGTTTTATTTGATGTGTTAACTGACTGTAACGCATTCCTTAGACTAAATCGGTGAAAACAATGCGACCTTTGACCTGACTTGTGACGTCATGGGTTGCACCTAGGTCAACGAAACCTGGTAACATGGTAGTTCCCTGATGGGGCTATCGAACGCTCTTTGAATGTTTAAAATCGGTCGGTAACTTTCCGAGATCTCAGGTGGAGGGCGAAACGGCTGCACCACCCGATCAGGTGGTAGGGTCCGCCAATAGCCCAAGGGGGCGCGGAATATTTATTCACTCATACAGTGTCATTTATTTTGAGAGCACCTTTCTCACGCCATGACAAGGCCCTCTCGTAATAGAACGAAATGAGGAGAGTGTTTTCACGCCTCCTTTTGCACGGCTCTAAGTGTCAGTGAGCTATCAACTGTCAGCGGTTTTCGGACAATGAAGTTCTTAGTTCTTACTGAATCCAATTTTATTTCAGACGATTGTCACTGTGCTAGTTTTCACTGTGCTGCGTAACGGGGAGAGCACCGGGACACCGTGCCCCCTCTGATTTTGGCGTTTCTCATTAGCCCTATGAGCGTTGCATGGAAATAATAGGGCCAAAAGTCGGCAGTGCCCCCCCCCCCTTAATTGAAGGTGTTCCGCCGCTACTGCATCCCGTCAACGTGGGTTTATCATAAGGATGCTAAGATTTAATTTCCAATCCGAAGCTGTAACGATGGAAAGCAAATTTGCATTTTACATGTGAAACAAGCTGACACAACTAAATATTTCCTCTCTCGCTCCCTCTCACTGATTTACCAATTGCCCTCTTTCTCATTTTACCCTCTCTGGTTTTCCTTTTCAGTTTCTCTCTCTCTCTCTCTCTCTCTCTCTCTCTCTCTCTCTCTCTCTCTCTCTCTCTCTCTCTCTCTCTCTCTCTCTCTCTCTCTCCTCTCTCTCTCTCTCTCTCTCTCTTCTCTCCTCCCGTCCTTATCCCTTCCCTCCAGTCTTTCTTAGCTCTCTCTCTCTCTCTCTCTCTCTCTCTCTCTCTCTCTCTCTCTCTCTCTCTCTCTCTCTCTCTCTCTCTCTCTCTCTCTCTCTTTCTCTCTCTCTCTCTCTCTCGCTCTCTCTCTCTCTCTCGCTCTCTCTCTCTCTCTTTCTCTCTCTCTCTCTCTCTCTCTCTCTCTCTCTCTCTCTCTGTCTCTGTCTCTGTCTCTCTCTCTCGCGCGCGCTCTCTTTCTCTCGCTCTGTCTCTCGCTCTCTCTCTCTCGCTCTCCCTCTCTCGCTCTCGCTCTCTCCCTCTCTCTTTCTTTCTCTCTCTCTCTCTCTCTCTCTCTCTCTCTCTCTCTCTCTCTCTCTCTCTCCCTCTCTCTCTTTCCCTCTCTTTTTCTCTCTTTCTCTCTCTCCCTCTCTCTTTCTCTCTCCATCTCTCTCCTCTCTCTTTCTCTCTCTCCCCCTCTCTCTTCCTCTCTCTCTCTCCCTCTCCATCTCCCTCACTCTCTCTCTTTCCTCACAATATTCTCGACTGTCACTGCGTTGTAGGGCTTGTTTCCAGACAGGTCCAGGCGCTCCCACTCCGCAGGCCCCAGCCCACACGGCCCAACCGCTCAAACACCCTCCGGCGGATGACCTCTGACCTCGGCGACCTGACCCCAGCCAAACGATCGCGTCCCTCTCCACGCCTCCGCCCCGCTTCCCCCACTACAGCTGCGTAGTAATTGTAGCGTGTGCAAAGGTCACGCGACATTATTTACTTCTGTGGCTTGTTCGGCTGACAAGAGATGGCACTAGTGGTCTGTGGATCAGAGGCGGGACTAGGTTCTACGACTTCTTGGGGCACACTTTAGGGCAGAAAAGAGGTTTTTTGGCTCCCCATCCCAAAATGCTTCGAATATACGAAAACAAGTTAGATATTCGAAAATCGGAGGACCAAACGGATCGTTTGACGTATCTTGCGCGACTGAGAATTGATCGGTCTTCAAACTACTGAACAAAAACGAGGTGATTAGTAGCAAGTGCTGGTGACTGTACTTTCAACATTATTCAGTAGGGGAGAGTGGGGAAAGATGCCCAGGGTTTTACTGTCATATATTATTCGAAAATGACGATCGGAAAGCAAAAACTTGGAGTTTCAACGGAAGCCGACATCATTTTTCTCCAAAAATATCACACTTTCGTGCCTGAAATATGATAACTTTTTTGCCATTAAGCATTTTCCTGAAGAAGTCAAAGGGGGCATCTTACCCCACAGGGTGGGAAAGACGCCCCCTGGCGTTGGGGAAGATGCCCCCTGCACTATAAGTGACATAAATAGGCACGTGAATCGCCTGAACGAATCAGTAGTCCCTTCGAGCCTGCAGTAGACACCAAACGTCATCGTAAGGGCCCTCAAAAGTGGTCGTAAGGGGCTTCAGAGGTCATCGTTAGGGCCATCATAGTCTAGCGCGGCCAAACAAGCTTCCGTGGTGCAGCGTTCGGAGACCACTGTGGGGCCCTTATAGGTCTTCATGATGCTTGAGGGCCCTCTAGCCCATCGTGGGGACCTCAGATGCCAGCGCGGCCCGTGGAGCCAACGTGGGAGCCCTCAAAGGATATCGTGAGGGGCCCTGGAGCCAATAATGGGGCCCACCGAGGCCGTCGTGAGGGCTCTCAGAGTCAGATGCCGCCCAAAAAGTCGCTGTGTGGGCCGAGAGACTGGCATGGGGAGCACCCGACCGTACTGGACTCTCAATAGTCCCAGACCGGCTTTTGCCTCTCATCACAAGCATGTAATAAATGATTTGATGGGCTGCTTGAAGGACAGCCTACGGATTTAGGGGGGCGTCTTTCCCCATCAGGACGGGGGGCATCTTACCCCAAGGTACCGAAGTAACATTAAATCAGTACAATATGTTAGCCATAAAGCTACTCCCTGAAACAAACTGTTTGGGACACAGAACACGCATGTTAATGTATCACAACTATAGCAAGGGACGCAAAAATTATCTACCCTCTTTGATATTTACAATGTTATGACACCAAAATATTTTTCGAAAGCAGCAAATAAAAAACATGCATTCACCAGCCAGCCGTTGCCCAACTGAGCTTCGCATTTTTTTGTGCAGTTAACAAGGCAGGCTTCCGCTTTACGCAAAGAACATTAATTTCCGGGTTCAATTCTTTGTTTCGCCGCTAGAGGGGGTGGGGCGTCTTTCCCACCCTGGGCATCTTACCCCACTCTCCCCTATGTTTAAAAAACAGAAAACTTCAATAACGTTGCTTGCAGACGTCCAATCAACATTGCGACACATGATCTGATACGAAGGTCACGACTTCATCAGGTGACCGATAAGGTGTTTTACATTCATATATTGCCGCTAGAAAGTATGCTATATGTGCAAAGAAGATAAAAAGCTATTCTGGTGGGAAACTGATAGGTGCACGGCATCTAAACATGCTACGTATTATCACAGCATTTGTTGCCAATCTAATTCTGATTTGGCAGCCAGATGCAATGCTGAGTGAGTACAGCGAATGAATGAACTGACCTGTTTGTTCCTTTCCAGCAGCTGTTGGCCGATTTTAGCAGCGAGCTCCAAGTCCTTTTCCTTCTCTTCGAGCAGTCGGGTCACGGCATCAATGTCATTGTACGCCTTCGTCATTTGACTTACTCTGCTGCCGCATAGGACTGCAAAACACAGAAAAAAATGATAGGTCAGCTTTTGAGGTCAGCGTCAGAGGACAGGGGCAAAGGGCAGCGTCAAAGGCCAACGAGAGGTCACAAGGGTTACACAGGTTAGGAACACAGCGGAGTGATAACGGATAAAAACAATCGTAGGCCAAATAAATGAAACGAAATTGATCAGTGACTTGTTTGAGTAAGGATACAATAAAGAAATCACACAGACAAAATCGATGTGAATGATGACGATAGCCGGTCCAGCTGACCACAATCAAATGCCGGTACAAAAGTCCACAATCACACCGATTAACTGGATAATGGATATGATCAAAGCTCACATAGTTCACACATGCTGAAGCCTAATTAGGCACTTCCGGCCCACTTAATGAGCTCGCGTACAATGAAGACAATCCAGAATCTCACGCCTTGCATACCATTTCCATTCATTTAACTCGTTGGCGAAAATGTTAATTCTTAATAACAAGTCAGCAGCAAAAGGTGTTAAAACTTATCCAACTTTCCTGCTTTCTAACATCATCAGATATAACAACATTGCTACATCGCACACATCTTGGAACGGAAATGGGATAAGCCGTGCTGAGAGTACGCAACGCCGGAAGAGCACGACAGAAAGTAAAGATAGACGAGTCGATGTGATAAAAATAGGGCCGACTGCGGTGGAACGCACACAGACATAAGATAAGGCACAGATAGGGGCCTGGTTTGGAGCTAAAACGGTGCAGCGTGTGTATAATCTTTATGCCGCCGATAGCTAGCGGGATGTGTGCAGGGAGCTGCGAAATGCGGTCAGATAAAACAGTGCGGGTGGATGTGTAAAGCGTCAATTACCTGTACTTTCACGGTAGGCAGTCGCACGATTTGTGGATACATAAGTTTAGGTATGAGAAAGAACTTATCACGAAGTTTGCACGATTGTTCATCTCCCCATATTAACTTGTGAACTGCTAAAAAATAGTAACTTGTGAACTGCAAACCTGTAATTCTTTTCCACTACATCACACGCTCTTCACGATATAACTGTAATCGGACGACCCCCGGTTGGATCAGCGCGTGTCTCTGCCGCGACCTGATTCAGACCGACCTGATTCAGAGAGGTCACCCGACTGAGAAAAGCTGCACCAGTCTCGCTTCTAGTTATGACCCGGCCTTGACACCCCAACGCTCCCTCGAGAGGGGTCGCTGCTCTCGATCCACCGCCTTTTCATGGGGAGTCATTTTCCCTTCCCCCAGCACATGACATTGTCTGCTGCCTCGATCGCGGCCGGTTCACTTTCACACACCTGCTCCTGATTGTTTGCAGCTACCTCTTGCACTTTCATCATGGGGCAAGTTGCACACCCCAGTAAACAACAGCCCTCTTGGTCTGCTCTCACAGCCTGTAATACGTCGTCCCCACAAATTAATGTCCACTACCTCCACCCACAAATTCGCCCTCACGGCTGGATTGCAAACTGTGACCAGCCTTTACATCTCTAGGCTCATTACCCCTGCCTTTCGACTTCACTCTCCCCACCCCTGTCCGTTAGGTCTGGTCGCGCCTGACTAGCCCCAGCGCTGTCGGCGTCAAACCCTGTAGTCTCACCACCGACCGGAGACAGCCTGGTGGGGGACTTCCCGACATCATCAGACACGGCTCAGAAGACTACCGAAACCATCGCCAAACGCCAAATCCCCGTCACCCGGGGCTGCTGTCTGGAGCTGTGACAATTCAGAGAGCTCAGACAGCTCTGGAAGGGAGTCTGTCTGATGCCGGCGTCTGAAGCCAAGCCGGGCAGCTCAGACTCCCACCGGATGTGACTACTTATACCCGACACCTGAAGGACGCCGAAGGTGACTGGGATCTGGAAAACGGGCACTGACGCCAACACCACAGCTGTTTCTTTGTTGATGCTTCAATGTTTTGAATATACGAGGGTGACAAGGGCTATCATCAGGCTCAGGGCAGGGCTATCACAGGCTATCACCATTGTCGGAGAGCTCACAAACGTGGGTCAGCCAGATAGAGAATGAATGTATTGAGCTCCAGAACAGAGTTTATATACCAAAACAGTTGGGCGTTGGTCCGCACTTCTTTAGGCGGTGGCCGAAACGGGGAACACGATGATTGGCTGACAAACGACAAGAGAAGCAATGCGATTGGTGGACGGAAAGGTTACAGCGAGGCTGGCGTGATGATAATCAATACCGGGGGAGCTGGGCCACGATGCTGCGGTTTTTATATTGTCCGACGCTCGTATTGATCTGGTCGGACAAAGCGAGCAGTACTTATACAAATCAATATTGAGGTAGCATATAGCGAAATATACCGTGCGACAATACATATGTTCATACAAGGGTTAAAACGCACCTGTCCCCCCCCCCCCGCACCAATGGCGGTCGCCGCACCGTTTACCCACCTTGGGCAACATTGGATATCTAGGAGACATAGGGTTGAACCGTCCTCACATTAGCCGAGTTTTTAGGCTGTCCCAGACGGCACAAAAACTGGTCAGAACTACCGACACGCCCTATGGCAGTGTCTCATACCGTGCGTGGCAGCACGTCTGTAAGTGTTTACCGTATGATGACCCTCCGTCTCCATGGGAAAAATGTGTGAACATTGACCAGATAGCAAACGGAGACAAAATGTAGGTAAAAAATGATACTAGATGATACTAAAATGATACTGCTGCATACCAGCGTTTCTCTCTTGTTCTGCAACAGTTCAAACCCCATATCAATAATCGGCAAACCCAATATCAATAATCGGCACACTGCATAGTGCATACAGACCACATTCATATTCGTCCCACAAACTGTTCCTGGCATTGAGAGTGGGTTGATTTCCGTTTTCACATAACCACAGCCACAACATGCGGTACAGATATGCCTCACAATTTCCGTCACAGCGCTGTCTGGAGTGCGGCAACTGCACGCTCGGCTGGAGGGCGGCACACCAAACAGCCACGAGAGACAGAGGCAGCGGCGGTGGTCGTACCAGAAGTGGTGACCAGTCAGTCACCAGACGCATCGGTGGTGACCAGACGCACGAGTGGTCACCAGGCACCAGCCGCTGTGATGCCCACAGACAAGTGAAGAGACCAACCACAAAAACAATCACAAGGCATCGGGGTGAGTAGAGCATCGCCTCAAAAATGCAGCTCGATATTTTCAAACTGCATCTCCGAATTGAGAAATGCAGCAGACTCCAAGACTCTGTCACTCATGTCAATGAGGTATGACTGCCTTGAGCAGCCACCGTCCGCCGGCGTTCTGAGTCGCTGAGCCGGCCAACTCGGGTGAGTCGGCTGAGTTTGGGAGGGAGAGTGGTTGGTGGAGTGTCGGGGGAGGCCGGTCGACCGCACCAGAAAACCGCCCGCCGCAAGGACGCGCCAATGGCACACTACACATAGCCCAACGGTGCTAGACTGGATTGCGCTGAACTGCACTTGTGGAATGGGGCGACGTAAGACCAAGACTGGTCGACACTGTGACTTCAATTCGGATGTTTCGGAGCGGAACTGGGAGAGCGGGAGCATTTAGTTTCTTCTCATGACGAGCCTCGGGCGTGATGTGAAGGCTGGGGGAAAAGATGGCATTTAATGTAAATTGACTCCTTGATCGCCAAGAACAGTGGAGAGGCCAGCATGGCATTCGAAAGTTCTGAAGTTCCTGACAATTACTAACGACACGCAAAGAGGAAGAAAATGTTGGCTGCGAAGACGATCACGTCGAGCTTGTAAGCGGATTTTGTGATCGTCATAAAGAGGTTGCTCTCTCAGGTCCAGTTTACTGCTTATGAGAGCAGTCAGACGTGTTTTCGTGGGAAAAACGAGAACTTGTTCAGATTTATCCGCGCCGTGAGGTTAATGTACTTTGGCTGACGTCAACAGCCATTTAACGAGCTCATAATCACACCATATATCATCCCCAGGACATCAATATCCTACTTCATTAATGATTAGGCATCAGAGCAACATATGCCATTTCTCTAACCGTTTTACCTGCATTCGAACATAGGAACCTCGCCTTAGATGTGGCCACCTACCGTTTACTACTATTTGCATTCCTCATAACCTGGGCGACGGGGGCGGCGCCGCCCACTACCTCACCCGGCCCCGCCAGTCCCATCCGTCACTGACACTCCAATTAGACTAATTGTGAGTGGCGTGCAGACACGCACTAACACCGGGGCGAGCTCAGCAGGGCTGGGGGAGGGAGACGGCGAGCAGGGTCGAGGGAGAGGGCGAGGGAGCGAGCTGAGGAGATGTAAGCGTGACGCGAAGGCAACCATCGGAGACGTGACATGACACAAGGTGCAAGCCGTGTCGAGACAGCACAGAAATTAGCCATGGATGACAGAACCTAGATGTAAGCATGGATGACATTTTTTCATCCATGACTTAGTCGCAGAGACACAATACATGTCAGGACAGAGTCATGGAGAGTCAAGACACATCGTCGAAAGACCAGGCACCATCGAGCACGCGGTGGCCGTCGAGACATTGACAAAGGCCGGCGTACGCCACAGTCCGTAACCCAAACACATCCCTTCGGCCGTCGGCGCCATTCCAGACGCCCATAGCGGCGGAACGGTGGTCCCACAGCGAGAGTCGACCAGCCGCACTATGGTTGGAAACGGCCTCACGGATGGCCGTGGGCAATCTCGGAATATATGTATATTTGGGGTGTCATTCTGTTGGAAATTGATGAAATGTTTTGAATTGGGCAGAAAAAATTATTTAGTTGCGCATTTAGTCTCCATTATTGTACGTGGAATCGGGAGTTTCTGAGAGTGGCTTTTTTGGTGCGCCGTCAAAGGTTTAAACAACCGCGCTGGTGATAGCATGTGGAGTACCTCCATGACGTTGTAAAACTGGATTATTATATATCAAAATAATCCTTGTTATGTTGGCTATCGAGTGGAGTGACTCTTTTTCCCATGCGTGTTCAAAATCAGGAACGGCATTGCATTCTGTTTGCAGTGTCACCACAGCAATATTTGC